TGACAGAAGTTCTGTCGAAACATGTTTTTTAAACTTAAAAAAGTGGTCGTTTTCCTTAAAATCTTTACATGTCTGCTGCTATCTAGACCTTTTGGAAATTTGAATTGCTGTTAATCTTTTTTTTTTCCAAAAACCCTTCTCTGGCCCATTGGCCAAGTAAAAGACAGAACCCACTTGCTGCCCCCAAAATCCAGTAGCCCCAGGCAATTGGACACAACTTGCATGCTGAACACTTGTTTATAAGTGACATGTAAGTAATGTTGAATGCATCTCAAGCTGGAAGTAATTTCCATATAAAGGTGATTTCCAAGACAAGCCTAGCGAAGAGTCTGTCATGCCAGATTTTGAACAAGAGGAACATGTGTTTACGTCAGCCCGTAGGATGTCAGTTTCATCTGAAATTCACCATGGAAGTCCCGCTAAAGGAATGTAAGTAACTTGTTCTAGTTGAATTATGTGTATGTTCATGATACATGCAGTTTTGGTTTCAAATGAGTGGCTGAAAGGTTGCTGCACTGGCCTGGGTGATAGGTAGGACTAAAAGCCCTTTACTGCACTCTTTATGTGACGTTAAACACTTTATTCAGCCCAGTGGCTCCGTCTATCCGGGAGCACTGCTTTCAATCAGACCTGAATGACCCCTAAAAGTTTGAAATAGCAGGGTTCACCTGTATTTCACCAAACTTCCATTTTCGCTTGCCCCAGCAATCGGACCTGGGTTTTTTCCTGCCCTGGACTCTTGGCAACTAGTAGTGGTGTTTTCAGTGTCTGAAATTCAATTTTTCACTCTCCTTAGTCTGCAAAACCTGACGAGCTCCTCTTACCTCCCCACGCCCACCCTTGGGTTGGGGAGGGGGGACTTTCTTTGTGAAAGCCGTGCATCCTATAATCTTTATTTGCTTTTATTTATAGGACTGAAAGAAACTCTGGGACTCATCATTTGAAAATTATAGATGAGGATTTAGGAGCTTCGTCTAGTAGAAGGACTTTGATTCCAGATGACTACACTCCGGCATCAAGTCTTTTGGCAAACCAGGACTCTACTGAGAGAGGTTAGTAGCATGCACCGTCTTTGAGACGTGACCTGGAAAATCAGGGGCAGATCTGGGGGGGGGG